ATGATAAAAAAAACAATCAACTTTGTCATCAATTGATGGCCTATGACAACAATCAAGCCATGGTGTGCTTCAATGTCAATATACCAACAAAATATTAGGATTCTTCAAATTCCAGAACTGTCTTCATCGAAAAGTCCACCTTTCAAGAGTAGATTGAAGGCATATTTATATATTTTTTGTTGAGGTCATTTGATTGTTTTTGTAAAAATCCTTAATACTACATCAGACAACATAAAATAATCTCCCTTAAACATTTAATCATTTCTAAACTTTTTTTTTATAATGTCAAAATTGAGTGATCATATGATTACTAGATTTGTCTTGTCTAGATGCATGTTTCAACTATAAACTTGTTGAAGATGGATTTCATATGATCTTGATATTGATTCTAGCAGTTTTTAATTTGAAAATCCTAAAAGTTTGAGATATGGAAGTAGTTCAAAGACTTATGTTGTTATTTTATCATCCAAAGAATCTTCTAAAATATACCTTAATATTTTTTTAACTCTTACTACAATTTGATGAAACAATAAAGAGAAAATCATTTGCCATTTACATCTTAGCCCACCATTTCTTGTGCACAGCACTCCTTCAATGTAAATACTTTGACGCAAAGCATAGAGTGAAACAATGAATGCCTAAAACTAGAGGATCCTCTAAACCCTATTATATACAATACGTTCACAATCTTAGTATTACGCTCGTGTCTAAAATCCTCACCGAAGACAACAACCCTTCGTGGAGTTGTGCTAAGATAATATCCCTCTCTACAAGAATAAGTTAGGCTTTATTGATGATTCTATAACAAAACATGAAGCCGACTATATTCTTGTCAGCTTTAATCTTGGGCAACAAATTAAATAACCACATGTAATCACTTGAATCCTGATTTTAGTTTCCAAGGAAATTAAATCTAACATAACTTACATGGAGAAAGCATTAGGAGTTTTGTTGACCTAAGGGATCAATTTCGAATAACCTAATGGGCTCAAGATTGTCAATTATGGCTAAAAATTGTCAATATCCTATAAGAACATAATAATAATTATGGCTAAAACTTATCAATTAAGTGGGTTTATATTTTTTTAATAGAATAATAATATAATAATATTATTATAAATTTATATAAATACTTTTAGGGATTCAAAAAGTTGAAGAAAAATATTCATAAAATTACACATTTTATTTAAAAAATTATGGCGACATTGATTTGCAAAACGGACATCTGACGATCACAAAACCCCCATTTGTACAATTATGTGCTAATTTCTTAAGAAATTTCTCCAACCCCAAAAATTATGAAAAAATTGGTGAAAACGAAAACACAATAATATATATGTTATAATGAAGACAGTTTGTGATTTGTATTTATAATGATTCATAATTTTTTTTTTACTGATGTAGGTAAAAATATATTTTTCAAAATTTTGAGTTATAATAGATTCGGGCTTTTAATCTATAAGGGGATGAAGGAGAACTCAACCCTTCAAGGTTTAAACTTGAAGAGAAAAAAATCATCTCTAAGGGTGTGGAGTTCCATCAATCCTTTGAGCGACTAGGCTTTCTTTATGACGGATAGCAAGCTAACATATTTAGGTTTTTAACCAATAGAGTAGCCAACCAACAAGCGAGATGTCCTAATCTTGCGCACCTTTCAACAATTTCAACCGCTGAGAAAAGGATTTTGGTAAGAGGAGAGACAAATGACAGAGAGAAGTCATTGGATGAGTGAGGTTCTATTTCCATTTTAATCCAAGAGGAGTCTTCGAAAAGAACTTTTACCGGACGTAGAGCTACGTTCGGCGAGCGCTGAGAACGCGCCACGTAGCAGGCACAAAATCGCGGGCCCGACCTGGCGAATAGTGGGTACACGTGCGTTTTTTAAATCCATGACAACCGGGTATTGCTCGGTATTGCTAGGTATTTGTCGATTTTGCTTGGCAATAACAAGAAATATCATTATGTGAAGAAAAATACCGAGCAATACCGAGTAATACCGAGCAATACCGAGTTTTACTAGAAAAACTCGGTATTCCTCGGTATTGGTTTTCACATAGCGGTATTTCTCGTTATTGCCAAACAATACCTAGCAATACCGAGCAAATACTGAGTAATACCTAACAATACGCGAACATAGCATTCCCGGGTTCCGGTCCGGGTCAAGTCGTTAGGCAGCGCGGTAAAGAGTAAGAGCACGTGGCGCGATCTCATTGGTGACCAAACGTAGAGCTAAGTATGATCACCGGACCTAATAATTGTTCCTTGGAAAGGCTAAGGGGGCACCTTAAAGTGGAGAAAATGTTAAATCCTTCTTATATTTCCACTACCAAACACTCAGGTCTTAAACAATTAACTAAAAGCTTAAATATGACGTTAGAACTATTTAAATAAATAATGACGAAGCCGATGGAATATACTGACATTCACAAATCACAATACGTCCACCCTTCCAAAGTTAATTATTGGGTGCGGAGTGCGGACGTAGTTCTGTGTGTGCAAACGAATTGGGTCGCGCCACGTGGAGCCCATCTTGACCCCACCGACTTGAAGAGAACGTGTGCTCTGTTTACCCGATAACCAGATAACATGAATCATCCTTATTTTCCACTAGCATTAATTTCTTATAGCAAGTTGCTGAACAAATAAACAATTATTGACGCAGATGGCAATTTTCTGCCAGATAGAGATAAGCCTTCTTCTGCCAGATTTTCAAATTCAGATATTTTGGAACAATTAATTACTAGGAAGTGCAGTATCAAACCTAATTTGCTGAGACGTCTAGAAATTGTCTACAATGACCAACTTAATAATTAGATTCATTAATGAATAATAAAGTTTGGGCATATAGAGAAAGCTGTTAAGAAAATTGGATTATGAATCATATAACTGTCATATATATATAAAAACTTATCATAAAAATGAATGATCTAAGGAATAGCATTTTTAGGATGACTTATGACGGCCTATTTGAATGTAGTATGTATTAATTGACGCATATTTGATTGATGGGGGATCATCAATAAGTTGTGCATTATGATAGTTGGGCCGAGTTTTATTTATTGCGCGCAAAAAAATTATAAATTTTGTTAAATAAAATTGGTAAATCCCAAATAGAGATTTTAGCATGGGAGGATTAACATTTAAAAATTGTTTTGATAGGTATTTTCAGACTATAGCATTTTTCATCAGAAAATTATTAAAAAATAATAATAATAATAATAAAAAACTTCAGTGATGTATGTTAGTGATTATTCATACCTCATAAAAAATAAAATAGAACATACACAAATCTTTGATACAAATATGATTCAGATTTCATGACCATCCAAACTCCGATTTCAACAAACCTATAATCAAATTGAAGCTCTCGAAGAGACGAACCCAATGCCTTATGACTACGGTCATTCCTACCACCATCGCTCGGCTATGGTCCTTCCGATCTCCGTCGTCTGCCGACTATGGTCATTCCAACCACCGTCCCCCGACTACAGTCATTCTGACCACTATTGCATGACTATGGTCATTCTGATCACTGTTGCCTGATTATGATTTGTTCTTACCACCATCACCTAATTACGATCCGTCCAACCTTATTTGTCCGCCAATTATATATGGTCTATCTGAACTCTGTTACCCACCAACTATGATCCATGTGACATTTGTCGCTTGCCAACTTCCATCCCTCTGATCACCGACGCTCGCCAACTATTGTCCTACTGACAAAACGGGCATGCCAACATTCTCTTGAAAATAATTCTCATATCATTGGATTTTTCTCAACTCGCATACTGTAATACACTCTATATGATGTATATTTGCTACATTGAGACAAGACCCTCCCCTCGAGGAAGGGCGTCATTTGTAATCAACTAAAAATGCTAATAGATTCATTTTTAACTGGATCAAGCACCGTGGTTTTTCTCATTTTCTAGATTTTCCACATAAAAATGTTCACGTCTCTTATTACTTTTGCACCACTCTCTCTCTTATATGTGTGTGCTCGATTTTCGTTCAAAGCTATGACGTTAAATTATACATCTCTCTTCCACTGTGAATATTCCAAGACGCAAGAATTATATATTTGTATCTTTCTTAGAATTCGATCACTTGCTTAAAAGCAATAAGCCATTAATTAAACTAATCATTTGTGATTAAGTATTGGTTGATTGTTTATATAAAAGGATGTATATATTAAATCTTATTATGATACAATGTTAAATTGCATTTTTAGGATATTTCTTGATCGTTTAATATATCAATCTACGAGAGAATTCTTATAAAAACTACAATTTCTAGAAATCCAATGTTTTCTTACACTTTTTATTTTATTTTATTTTATTTTATTTTTTGACAAAGAAACTCCCAATTAATTTTAGGTATGGTAAGTTTATTCTTAGGATTTGATTTGGCAACCAAGTGCTATACAAGTTGAAATTTACACAATTTTCTAAAAAATTCCCAACCAACAAAATTAGCATAGCCTAAATTTAAGCTAGAAGATAAAAACTACAAAGTATCTTGCTAACAACCAAATAAATAAATAAATATCTAATTTAAGGTGAGCACTTGATCGACAAACAAAATCCCCAAAGGATAAAGGCTTAATCCTTCCTCTAAAAATTTCCTTAATGCACCAACAACTCCTCTCTATAAATGAAGAAAGTATTATGTGCGGTCACCGGACAGTCCAAAGACGAATCAGGATACGCCAACATTACTCTTCCTAATTCGTCTCTGAATGCCCTTTGATAACCGCACAGAATAATTTCTCTTATAAATGACTCGTAGTTCTTTGATATCAAATAATATAATGATATCATTAAATAAACATTTAGCTTAAAAATAAAAATAATAGAAAAAAGTTATTACTTATATTCCTCGTGTATTTTTAAATTAAAATACAAAAAAAACCCACGTGCTCTTCATCCGGAAACTTCAAGGAACCAGTTCAACTTGCCTCAAACCTTTCCAGCCTCCCGGCTATATAAAGTTATAAACCACTTCACCCCACTTCACCTTCCAAACTTCGCTTCGACTCTCATACCCCAGCTCCATACCCTCACCGGGGGTGAGCACAATCCCAACCCAGAGATGCACAGCCTCGACTCCATCCGGCGCCACCTCCTTGACGATTCAGAGATGTCTTCCTCCGGGGTAACAGCAACTCCCCAGCCCCTCTACAACCGGAGCTCCAGCTTTGGCCGACTAGTCGCCGATCACTGGATCGAGGTCCCCTTCCGCCCGGACGACTCCGACGACATGGTTATCTACCTCACCCTCCACGACGCCTTTAGGCACGGCTGGCTTCCCGAAGGCGGCAGCGCCACAGCCTCCGTTCTTCCGCCTCTGGTGAAGCCCGATTCGCCGGATATAGGGGTGCCGGCGAAGGGCAAACACTATCGAGGAGTGAGACAGCGGCCGTGGGGGAAGTTTGCAGCGGAGATTAGGGATCCGGCGAAGAATGGAGCTAGAGTTTGGTTGGGGACATTCGAGACTGCGGAGGAAGCCGCGCTGGCATACGATCGCGCCGCATATAGGATGCGCGGTTCTCGCGCGCTTCTCAACTTTCCGCTACGGATCAGCGAGGAGGCTGATTTATCGCCGGCGTCTGGAAAGCGGGTTAAGCCGGAGCCATCATCGCCGTCGTTTTCCTCTTCGTCTTCGTCGCTTATTTCCCAATCTGAGGGATCGACTAAGAGGAGGAAGAGAGGAGACGCGGCGGCGAGGATGGAGCCTGCTTCGCCGGCGGCTGTGTCGTCGTCTCCGTCTGCGGCACCCTTACAGTTGCCGGCTCAGGCGCAGGCCGGTCTGGGGTTTGGGATTAGGCCGGTCGAGTTCCAGGGAGGAGCAGTGGAACAACTTACACATGTCGGGCAGCTGCTGGTTAGCTGAAGTGGAGTTGTGTGGGTTTGGGATCGAAGGTGAACGCCTACCCAGTTTTGGGGAACTGTAAATGATTGAAAGTTTAGGGGACAATAAGTAAAATATGGATGGGCAATGCCATTGGACAATTTTTTTTTTTTTTTTTAACGAGGAAGCACTGTCTTTAGTCAAGTCAAAATCCCAGTCGATTTAGCATGCAACCCACACCAATTTACACAGGCCAACACTTATGGCTTTCACTGCTTGTCAAGGGATTCGAACCAGGGACCTGGGCTTTGCCTAGCCAGCTCTTCACCACCCGAACAAATAGCGGTGGGTCCATTGGACAATCTTTGATGCATTTTAAGGATTGGGTGAGGTTGATTTGTGATTTTGGAATTGGAGTGTACAAAGATATTTCTATATGAGTTTTTCTATTCTTTAATTAAACACAACATGAGATTTTTATCAAAAGATAAGGAAAAAAATAAATGGTGATAAAATAAGAAAAAAATTATAAAAGGTGTGCCAATGATAAAAAATAATAATTTTTATGAGAAAAAATTGATTATGAGAAAATAGTATGATTTTTTTTCATAAATAACCCAAAAAGATATTCTTACTATCTGTAAGTAGCAGAAAACCAGAACAAAACGGGGACCTCCACTCAGTAACACTCCTCTCCATATATCTTCAAAAAAAAATCTATCTAAAATTGTAAGAGGAATAAATGGTGATACAAGATCAGTGACTATAGAAATCTCATCAAGGTCTGTCAAGGATCTCAACATTATACCAAAATAGTATTATTATTTCACACAAACTTACAAGGAAACTGATCACAGGTTGGTTTTGGTAATTGTTGATCCATAAACCACCAGTAAACGTCTAAGATCATATTCCACGGTAGCGGCTTCATATTAACTTGAAGCCTCTCTTAATCGGGGAGAATGACGTAAAGCATATGTTCTATTTAATAAGCCAAACCTTTAACTTTTAAATTCCTATTACCATGAGGTTTCTTTACAGCCAACTGACCCTCTTCCAACCAGTAAACACTATAGAATCCCCTCCCAAGAAGGGAAAATTATTATGTCCGGTGTCTGGATTCGTCCAGACATCAATCCAGATGTGCCATGTTGCCCAGATACACTCGGGGCCCAGTGTATCCGTGTGATGTGGCACGTCTGGATTGGTATCCGGATGGTCTGGTGACCGGACGTAATAATTTGCCCCCAAGAAGAGCCTGTAATTACTGTTCTTCTCACTGACAATCAAGAAACAATTGTCTATCCATTCCAGCAACCAAGAATAGCATAATTCATGATTCTTAGCCCAAATTCAGCAATCAAAATTCATCTTGGCTGCAAATTTATCCTCAAGACAACTATCTTGATTAGTTCTATATATTTTTTTTTACATGTCTTGGTTATCTTGTGGACTTGCAATTAATAAATTATAAATTACTTTTTTTCTCTTTTCCTATTTTTTGCTCATATATCTGGTGTTACTAGTAAGTGATACGAATATTATGTAATAACCTGATAATTATGAAAATAATTTTAAAATGATAATTTGAAAAATTAAAAATTTATTAAATGGAGTGCCACAACGCTGTGTTTTTGAGAGCAGCAGCGCTAGGACGAGGGAAAGCAACGCTAGAATTCGACACGATAGCGCTAAGTTTTCTATTCTACAGTAACTCTAAATTGAGCACGCAACGTTAGTGTATCGAGCTCATAGCGTTGCGGTGCTGGGAAATGAATTATTATTATTTATATAACTTATCTCCACTAAGCCATTCCTAGATAAAATAGAAAGAAGGCTTTTAGCTTGGATTTTTTTTGTTCGTAGCTCTAGTTAGGAAAAGCCTTTTAATCATGGTAGGTAACCCGAATTCGACTTCTATTTTCAATTATTTTGATTTCTTAAATTTATCTATTTTAAAAGTAATTAAAATGCATTATCTCTCATTTTAATGATTTTTCAACATATAACTTTTTGATATATGATAAATATCATTCTCCTGAGTATTTTAATAGGTGATAATAAAATTTCACCATGTGATTTTAGTTTTATACTATTTTAACTAAAATAGGTAGTATAATATTATTTTATAAAGTGATTAATAAGCAATGTACCGTATTTAGACATGAATTATACAATATGCATATATTTACTATTTATATAGGTGAACATGCATTTTTGACTTACTACATGATTACTGCATTAAGTATAATGATAAATGTTATTATTCCTCATATGATGTGATATGCGTAAAAAAGGGAAAGAATGACTGGCTAGTTTTCTGAGCCCTTGTTTTCCTCTCATATTTACCTTCATATTCTTTATTTGAAGAATGTAATAGTTGCCATTGTTTTTTTTTTTTTTTTTTTTTTTTTGCCATTGTTTTTTTTTTTCTTTACTTATCAATGCCAATGTATTGGTTTACTTGATTACACAAGCATGTACATTTTTTAGATAAACAAAATGCTCGTTGTGGCTCTTTTTCTTTTTCTTTTTTTTAATTTGACCATGTAATTTTTTTTTTTATCATGACATTAAATTTTACTTATATAAAATGTATGCTTCAATATTTAATAATATAAAAAACATTTAATTGACAAAAATGACTCAACTTTATAATAAATTATTAATTTTAGAGAAATTTTTAATCAAAGCTAAAACTCTAAATTATTGGAACAATTTAATGTCAAGATGTCCTAACAAAAATAGATCATGATAGATCTATTTCAAGATGAATGCAACATTAATTACATGTATTATTCTCATCACAAAATAAATTTAAAGAATTTGAGACTCATGCTTATAACAAATTTTATCAAAATATTTTTAAACAATTTCTTTATTGAATTATCCCTCTTTTATCAAAATTATAATGATGAAATATAATAGTTTTCATAGAATTGATGAGGGTATTCTCCCAATTCCATTGAAGAAACATAAATTATAAAGTGGGGGGGAGCGTGCATCTAAATTCAGCAAAAGGACATATTATAGAAATTAAATTCCATAAGGAAGAGTAAAAACTATAAGTACAATGCCCATCAACAAAATGAATCAATCACAACATATAAAAAATTATGAAGAAATAGAGCAAAAAAGCAACATATAAACATTCCAACATTAAAAAGTTTAGCTAACAGAAGAGACAATAACTGGTTGCCAAAAGACAATCCAATAGAGAATAATTCTCCCATAATGTCACAACAGCACACATATATCATTTTAGCACCAAGCAAAATAATGCAATATATATATATATATATATATTATTTTTTATAATTGTCTGGCAATATCATCCATTCTTAAAAAATTTCTTAACTTCATATGCCCAAGTGTATTTAATAGTCCAACATATTACAATTTTTAAGCAATCAAAGTTCTTACTTTGGTAGTAATGCCCCTCAAGCTCTATTCTTCTTTGAAGAACCAATTATTTCTCTCTCTCCAAATGCAATAAAGCACAATAGAGATGATAAGAAGATTAAATATCCTTAATCTCATTTGATCCAAATTTAGAACATCCAAAAAAATAGGCGAGCTTGATATTCAAATGAGTTCATGCAAAGAGAGCAACTGTTTCGAATATTCAATCCTGCAGCCCACAACTTATAAACAATTTTAAGCTTTTTATTAAAGATCATTCAATAAAAGATAGAATATTTAATAAAGTGGATTTTAATTAAATTATAAATATACCAATCTACATATGGGATATTAATAAACATACATTCTATAAGCTTTCTTTATACTTTTTCCCCATTCCAAGTTATAGTGTATGACCCTCTCATGATAGGGATATTGATTATAGCATTATAACATCCTATGTTAGCTATTTTTAGAATTACTTATAGATCCCATAGAGCATTTAAAATGATTGAGCTAAGAATAGTTAATGATAGAAAAGCATTCATTGCCCGCTATATCAAGCAAAGAGTTTCCTTCATACCATCGGTCCAAGTAAAGAGAATGCTTAGTATTATCACCAACTAAGTGCTTGAAGTTACTGCTAAATTGGTAAGCTACCTATTTTAGCTCCTTCTATAATGTAGAGACTTTTTATTTGTGAGGAGAGTATAAAGAGCCATATGTGTTTGCATACCAAATGGATAGAAGAGATTAGGAGTTATACAACCTCCAAATAATCTTAGTTAATGCATACCACATTTAGGTTTGAGATAGAATCAAAGTTAAGGGCACCCTTTGCTTTTGACTTGGTGGTATTACTCCAATAGATGATATATATGTTTGACTATAAGCACATAAGATTTGAATATCATTTGGATCTCCAATTAATGTCCTGAAAATTTTAAATATGTTTTAGGGTTCATTTGGACTCATATTGGATCATTTGTGTTGTTGATGGATTTGTTTCATTGAGACATTCAATTTGACTACAAGTTTGTTAAAATTGGAGTTCCAATGATTCTAAATTAAATTCTAAAGCTTCTAATCTAAATATTATCTCGAGATTCATGGCGATCAAGTGAATTTTTTAGAGGCATATTATTTTCCCTTCTATTTTTGATGTCAGAGCTTATGTCATCCATATAAATTTATGAACTTTTTGATAAATTTAGTGGTGCAAAGTTATAATTTTAAAACATTATAAGTCACGATCACTCACTAGAAGTAAATGTAGACCTCTCCCCTAGAGGAAGTCTCAACAAATCGATAGTTGAGACAAATCTAGAATACCAAATATATATTGATTTGGGTCTAAATTGTCTAAAATGATCTACAAATTTTGTATATGCTTATAATCAAAATAGACAACTTAATTAACAAGTGGAATCATGTGTGTCAAAGGTCACTCAATTTCAGTATTATTAAGCTATTTAAATGTAGGACCTTGCATGACCAAAGGAATACATATGGGCCATCTAATGGAGTATTTAAGGATTTTGGCTAAAATAATAAAAAATATGTCCAAGAAAATTATAAATAGAATCTTATTTTACACATGAAAGGGACATGAAGTTAGAGAGAGCTCGCATATTTAAAGAATCACAAAGCTCCACTTAATAATCAACCTCAGTGATCACCATTAACAATCGCACACTGTCGCCCAAAGACAATTTACTAATTGATGCCAATATACTACTGTCACTAACTACTGTCTATCCCAA